GGGAAACAAAAGAAAGCACAGAGACAATTAATTTAGTTTCTCGCGAGGAGAATAGGAAGGAGACTTCAGAGTTTACAAATCTCCAACCCAATCTGCAGTCTTCAGCTTTCTGCTCGCCATTTATTGAAGAAAAGGGGATGTCCCTAATTACATCAGCTGAGGTTTAACTAAAGGGAAAAGGGGACACAAAAGGATCTTACTTTAAACCTCAGCACATATGTTAAAACAAAGCATGTGGTTGTTTTGCAATTGAATTGTTCCAAGAACACATGTTTAGAAGAAACATGTGATAGAGGCTGTTCAGGTCTCTTTTACAACCCGTCTGTTGCATGACCTTTATCTGGAACAAGCTTAAGCAAGAGTTAATAAAAGATGAATCACACATTATACATCATAATAGTTCATTAGAACACAACCCATTAAACACAAACGGATTATAAATAAAATATTTCTAACAATAACCATAACCAATAAGACAGCTGTGCATTTTTGAGCTTTTTAAAGCTCTAAATAGTCCCCATTCATGGTACCTAACCAGACATTTACTGTCATTCTAGTAGTTTAAACTTAAGTTTAGGCTGCTCCTAAACTCTATGTACCCAAGTAAACCAAACTGGAATCCAGTCCAGCCTATTCTTTTGAATACATGTTACCAGCAGCCTGTCAATCACACTATGAACAACATAAAGTAAGTCATCATTAGTCCTTAAGAGGAAGAACAGTGGTAAACGTGACGACTAATAAACTGAGAGAAAATGCAGCGAAAAATTCAAACATTTTTGACTGGCACAAAAGGTGAACCAAAACCAGCTGTAGTGAAGGTACTGGAGAGTAATAAGAGAAAACACAAAAGAGTCAGTTTTTCCAGAAACTACTGGTAGACTGAACAATGCAGAAGGCTCCCTTCTGTTCTGTCTGGTTCAAGTTAAATTTCATTACTCTAGTTTTGTGTTTTAACTCATGTACTCCATGTTGATATTTAATCACTTCAAAAATACATTTGTTGGCACTTCTGTAATGTACGAAAGATGGCTGTTCATGTAACCAACATAATAAATAAATACCTACATATCTAAAATGTATCAACAGGCTCCTTAAAAAGATGATTATGTACATTTACTTGTTATGCCATCATATCAGACTATTTAAATAACTATCAAATCAATACTAAATTGAAATGTGACTCAAAGTGGGAATTATGAGGTTCTTTTTTTTTTTTTTTTTTTTTTTACAGCGTCCTGTCTGCTAATATGGCAATGAGAATAATTGTCTTGATGCCAAAAAGAGCCCAACAGATTTTACTTTCACAAGTGAAGCAGTACGGCAATTGCCATATTGCTCCACTTGTTTCATGCATATAAATTGCTTTATTATAATTATGCAGGGGATTTTACAGTTTATATGGACACTGCAGTGTAAATGGAACAGAAGAGGAAAAACAGAAGAAGAAAAAGAAAAAAAAGAGAAAAGATGAAAGAAAGAGGAGATAGAAAGGAGATAATGACAAAACATTTTCAGTCTGCTTCATCACCTGCAACGAGATGTAAAAAGAACAGCACAACCCAAGGACATGGTACGAGATATACAATAAAGCAACACCTTAAAACCATCGCTGTAGTAGTATTATTTAGTCTGACATGTACTCTTTGAAGATAAGAGATTATGAGGTTCTTGATAAAACCCAGCCCAACTTATTCTAAAATGATTACCAGCTCTCACTGTTATCATATTTATATTGTCAGTTTTAAGGAAAAAGAGACAAACAGTCCTGCGTCCCATGTGAAAGAAAGTCTGGAGTTGTAGAACAGGCAACCAGCATTTCTATCCTACCTGAACTCAAAGTTACATCGATGATTAAAGAAATTAAATTGTTTAATTGTTAATTGTTAAACAAAGCATAAAAATAAATTGCTACCAAACTGTTTGCGACGTTGATCATTGTTTCTCCTCTCGGTTTCTGTGTCAACTAGCAGGGTTTGGGAAAACACCCTCAGTGAACACACCTTTATACAGGGGAGAAGATCCTCCAAAAGTCCCACTCCCACTGATTCCTGTTGGAATCTGAATCCACGCTGTGGTCTTCTTCCCGTCATATTTGGTGCCTGCAGAGTTTCTCATCTGATTATTGTTTTTTTTGCATTACTGTTTGAAGCAAAGTAAATTTTGTTAATGAAAGTAGAATAAAAAATGCAATCCAGAAATGAAACTTTGAAAAGTTCTTAATTAAAAGTTTTTTTTTTAGATTAACCTCTCTCTATTTTTAACTGTATATTTTCCTTTATCTTTTCATATTTTAGTTTTTCAATTTACAAGTGGAGTACAAGTGTGCCAAGGTCAGCTTGGAGACTATGCTCCAAGACTCCAATGACCCACTTGTGTTCCAAGCACCCACACTGGGAGGAAGTGGACCCCGCTAGCTGCTACAGAGCAGGCAAAGGCAGCACTCCGACACCGCAACATCGTGGGACATGTTCAGGAGGGGAGGAGTGGCCTTGGCCTAGCAGACCAACTTGGAACAATGCCAATCCAGCTCAGAAGCGCAAGCTGGTTGTCCAAGATGTACGGCGGGAAGAGGAAGCAGCAAGGTGCACGCAATCCGTGGCACAGGCATAGCAAGAGCAATGGATGGCATGGGAAGGAGTTGAGAAAAGAAAGCTCTCCTGGCAAGATCTATGGGAAATGGAGGCATTCAGGACAAGCTTTACCATCGGAGCTGCTTATGATGTTTTACCGTCACCTGCAAACCTAAGCCAATGGTATGGCAACGACCCCACGTGCTCCTTGTGCCGAAGTCCAGCAACACTAAAGCACATTTTAGTGGGATGCAAGACCAGCCTTACCCAAGGTCGCTACACCTGGCGACACAACCAGGTGTTCAGAAGTCTTGCAGCAGTGCTGGAATTCCAGAGAATGAGTGCAAATGCGCTCCCCCTCCTCCATCCCACCAGCAGCCAACATTTTTTGTTCGAGAGGGTAAAGCCACCTTCACCATCACTGGTAGGGCTGACATTGGGCAGCTGGGCAGCGCACAGTACTGGAAAATGCTGGCAGACCTGGACAAAAAGCTGTGCTTTCCACTGGAAATTGCATCCATCAGCTTGCGTCTTGTGGTCTTCCTCACTCAAGCTGGTGTACATCATTGAGCTCACGGTACCCTGGGAAGGTGCCGTAGAGGAAGCCTTTGAGCTGTAGAAGCTGAGATACACCAATCTTGCAGCAGACGCCCAACAACAAGGATGGGACGTGAAGGTATGCCCGGTGGAAGTAGGCTGCAGGGGATTTATAGCCCCGTCAACATCAAGGCTGCTCAGGGAGATGGGGGTGCGAGGGAAGGCCCACAGACAGGCAATCAAGGACCTCTCCAAGGCCGCTGAAAAGGGGAGCCAGTGGCTGTGGACCAGGAGGAAGGACCTGGCCTGGGGCTCCAGTGTGTAATGGTTGATGGGAGTGAACTTGAGACAATGGGATTCACTGCTGAAGCCTCTGGAGGCGTTGTTTGCTTATCAGCGAAACACCCAAGAAGGAGGACGCCCACTTGAGAACCCAAGGGATGCCATCACCCACTTGATGGCCACAGTGTCTCATCGGTGCCTTAGGTATCTATTGGGATAAGATAAGATCTTGTCCTACTCAACAGAGCTTTGTCAACTTTTTTTTCTAACTTTTTTAAATGTTTTAAATAAGATTTTTGGCCGATAAAAGATATTGTATTTAACCTCCATGCTGACCATTAGAAATGCAACTCTGCACCTCAACTCATCGAAAAGCCTGCGCCCAGAAGTGAAAAGAATTTGATCCGTAAAATGCAACTAGAAAAAAAATGTTTTATTCTTTAATAATTCTAAAAACTAAAGTTTAAAAAAATATAATTTGAAAAAGGTAAAAGAATAAAAAAAATCAAAGGTACACTAAATAAATCTATTTTTCATTAAGAAGATTTTTCAAAGTTTAAATTCTAGTTTGATTTTTTTCCCCCAAATTTTCATTTAAAAAACACATTCTTTGCTTCCAACAAATGTAGCAGTCATCATAGAGGAAACACATTTCAGTCTGAATATTGATCTTATGGTCCTGATTCATGGTTATGACAGCAGCTTAGTGTTAGAATAAGCAGAAACTGGTTTTGTATTTTGTCTCAGCTCTTTCTAAACCACAATAACCCAGAGCATAGACTGCAATAGTGCGACTGTAACAATTTTCAGTGCATGTTAAATGTATGAAAAAAGCCAAGAGGAAAATTCCCAAACCAGACACCCTGCTAAACCATAACGTTTCCACAAGATCTTTTCCATTATTATTACAAGCAAAATATAAGTTAAGTGGCAAGCCTGGTAGAGAAGAAGCTCAATTCTCTGTTTCAACTTTAGCTCTGATGGACCAAAGGAAGAGAGAAACTGCTTACGAGAGATTACACCACACTAGCACCTCTGAGCTGCATATTCAGGACCACTGCACTTAAAGATCAAAGTATAACAAACAAATGTTACCATGGCGGCTGCAGATGTGCTTGTAATTAGTTCAGCGTTTAGGACACAAACTCAGTGTTTGATGCAGGTTTGCTTTAGCTGATAAAAGCTGCTGAAAAGACAAAAAAAAAACCCTGATACTAAAGCTAAAATATAGACTGCAGCTCAATAACCTTGCTGACTGGACAGAGTTTATAGAAATATCTTCACATTATCTAGGAGTGTAAACATTACAGTGTGTAAACATCCCAAACATAAAATTATTAAACACCATTATGTTACATTTTCGCTATGTAAGGTTTTGATCAGTCACACTCAGATATAAGGAGAAAAAATAAGCAGAGTGTATGTCATAGTTAAATATCTTAGAGTTAATTCTGCAGATTGGTCATAAAAGACCAGCCATAAGCACACTGTAAACTCCATCACACACACCATGCAAGAGTAAGACAATAACTGTTGTCTAGAGTGACGAAAAGAGCCAAGTAAGGTTGTGGTTGGAGACGAGATGGGAGTAAATACTGTGTGGGTTTTAACGAACAAAAGAAGCTTAGATCTACCCTAGGAATGAAACAGGACCGACAGTTGGTATGGTTTTTGATGAAAAGGTAAGATAATATGACAGAGTAATTATGGCAAAAATGTATGTCATTTTAACTTGTTGCCAGATGGAGCAACTTCTGAAAAACTCTTTGTCGTGCTGCTTTAATTAATGTTTGCTACTAAACCTTGTCTCCTAATCTTTTACCAATACTCCTAAACCTAGTAGAATAAGAATTAGTAAAGTAAAATTGTGGTTTACTCATATGTCTTTTAAAACAAGTTTAAGAAACATCAAATTCTCGGCTTCTCTGTGAAGCTGTCATTCTGATTCTTATTTGAAAGAAGAGATGACACATTTTCCTCCCGTTGCTGTCACTGTTGGGAAACTGATTAAGTAACAAACAGGGGTAACCTGTCTATGTTTTGCAACTGTTTGTGAAAAGACAGCTGTTGCCACACCATCCACATGCAGAAAGGAATGAAACAAAGCAGGAAGTCTGATGATAATGTTTGTCTTTTTTTCCCCCACTTCTTTTTATTTTTTTTGGTCATATTCATAAAAATGCTTCTGAACTACTAATAGGAGTTGTACGAGTTATAAAGATTATGTAAAATAGATTTAAATGCTTTTACAATGTATACAGCTTACTAAAGCTTAGTGAAAGTTATAAGCTTGGCCTAAAAAAACAAAAAATAAACCTATTCACTGTCAAAATGAATCATTCTGCTTAATTAAATTAACATTTATGCAGTTAGACCCTCAAACTTTCATGCAGTTTTTAAGGGATGTTTAGACTTCTAAACTTCACAAAGTCAAACATCTTACAAGGTCATTTGAAGCAATGCTGAGTTTATTTATCTACATTCATAATATTTCTTATACGCTATCCCTTTTAAAAGGTTTTGTTTTTTCCTTTGGGGGTAAATAGACTCCTCTTTTTAATAAAGGCAGAAGGAACAGGATTTACAGGGTGTGTCCTTTTTCTTGCCTTATTTAAACATGCATTGTGTGCTTTGTTGCTCTCAGGTCACGTAATAGAGATGTCTTGATCTAAAAGAGGTTAAACCGGCTGCAGAGACTATAATGGTTTTATATTATATTATTTTATATTATGGTTGCTGGAATGAGTAGCTGTGGCATAGTTATAATAAAACATTTTATTAATTGATACATTTTTAAAATAATGCTTAATACACAATTCTAAGGTTGTTTAAAAATAATAAAATAATTTTTTTATTACAGTTGTATAGTCTGACACTGATAAATTTAGTAAATCAAACCTTTAAAATAATTTAGGTGGGAGAAAAATCCACTTTCTATAAATAATAGTTTTAAACTTTCTTTACAGTTCTTTATCTGTTGGCGTCTTTGCTTTTAGCAGTTTGTTAGACCCAGGAGACTAGGGACACTTGCTGTCACATTTCAAGAATTAAAACAAGAACATGCTGTATTTTTTTCATTTCCTTAGATAGAACCCATTTATCTTTCCATTAATGATTATTTGATCAGAACTTTAACAGGACTTGAATTACTGTTTTCCTTTTTCAAATCTAGTAGGATTACCAGACCGTTGGTCGTATTGATCTACTGTGGGTTAGTGGCTTCCTCCTTCAGTTCTCAGGCTAATCTTGCAGCTTACAATGCCAGAACTGTTTCTGAATTTTAGCCCATAGTTTGGTCTTTATTAAAGGAACATTTCTGTGTGTGTATTTTGTAAGCTACATTGTATTTTGTTTATTTTGTACCCCTGATCGCCAGTAACATAAAACCTGTAGTTTTTGAAACTGTTAATTCTTTGGCATCTTGAAACTGTTATTGTCAAATGTTTACATTCCTCAGAGCTCAGTTGCTTCTCTGCTTAAGTTATCAGCTTGTAGGATTAGGTTAGACAAAAGGCTTTTCTCTCACACGATATAGGATTATCTGTCATCTGAGAGTTGACCCAAGTGCAACCAGTTAAACCAGTAAGACTACTGGTCTTGCACAAGTTTGCCTGCTATTGACTGTACCCAAGCTACATGAGATAAAAATAAAAAATGGTAGGGTTTCATGTCATGATAGACTTTTCGTGAACAGCTGGACTCCTTCAAAAGGGGGCTACAGTGCAAGAGAATGTTATCAATATGTCATACTTGAAGGTGACTCTGGACGAGAGCAACTACAGAGGCAGGAGAAGGTTTAAGAGGTTTTATTGAAAAACAAGATAGTGGACGTGAACTGGAAGCTGTATGGTCTGGTCAGGTTCTTCTGGGCTTTGTAGAGAGGCTGTGGTCCAGTCTTGGGGCAAAGTGTCCCAGGTGGTCCGAGTGCTGATCAGTACTCTCTCCCTGGTTGGAGGTTTGAGGGTGGACAGGCAGGTGATCGCAGGTAGGTGGGCTGAGCGGTGGATAACCCAAGATCCTTTTCGGGTTCCTGGTTGTTTTCAGGCGGAGGGTCCAAGGTTTATGGTTCACGGCTGGGTTCAGGGGTCAGAAACAAGGGTTCTGCAGGAAAAGGATCAGAACTGGATTTAGACAAGGGTTTAACAATCACTAGGACGAGGTTTGAGTTTGGTCTGTTACCAACGCTGTGGTGTTAACGAACTGACGCCCTCCTCCTGGTTCCAGCTCCTTAAGAAGGGTGGTGATCAGTTCAGATGTAGTGCACCTGCCCGTCCATCCCTGCTGAGGAGAGAGAGAGAAAACCTGGCCTGCACCCGGATAGAACCTGGAGTGTGACACAATATCTTTTTTGGTGTTTCAAAATTTCACAAAATCTAGAAAAAATAAAAGGCCTGAGTAGCAACAAACCCAGTCAATGTTTAGTTAAATTTTACTTCACCAAAGTGTCTCAAAATGAAAGAATCTGGAAATGTATTTATTTTATTTTATTTTTTACACCTGATGAATTGCTTTTGCCACACAAAAACTATCAGTGAACTGTAATCTTTATGTCAGCAGTCTACACTGTGGTATAAAAACCATCAGCCTGGTGTTGTGGCTGCTGAGTAACTCAGTTCCCTTTTCCTCTAAGATGAAAAATGTAGCATAAAGTAAAGATTGAGACGCTGCAGCCTTTGAGCTCTGCTCCTAGTGGAAAACATCAAGACAGTTTATTCAAGGTCATAGTCCTTTACGTTAAAATAAAGGGATATTGCAAGAGGAATATTTTTACGTTCTGTTTGCTTTCCTCTGGTACAGATTCCAAATCATTCAGCATGAGGAAACTCATTAAAATGGTTAAACTAAAAATACTGCTACTACTTCTCATTGTTTAAAATGTAATGGCCATCATCACAAGGACCTCCTCAGTAGGACATTAGGAAGAAGTTCCATGTTTTAAGCTTGGTTAGGATGCCCTGTTCTGCGGATCTCAATTTGCATGGACTCGCCGAACAATAGGTCTTTGTTAGTACCACAGGTAAAAAAAACTGAAGTGTAAAAATGAAACCACCTGAAGCGGACTATTGTAATAACCGTTGTAATACTGATGCCATGCAGACAGCTGGAAGAAAAAAGTTAGAGACAATAGCCCCCATTTACGCTACCCTTTGGAAACCGTGACGAGAACGGTCTCACCACGGTAACCGAGATAACAATTGAATGTCATGACATGATATGTGTGGAAGAAGATATGTGCGGAAGAAGAAAATAAGCTTTCCATCCGATTTCAAAAACAATGTTTCCAAGGCAAAGCAAAATCAAAGAACCAGAAACAAGAGTTTAATGAGGTGAAGAAACACCAAACCAGGGGTGCAAGAAGCTGAACCATCAACAAACATCAACAAAGCTGGTTTTCCCAAACGCACATCAGACAGTCAGGCCGAAGTGTTCAAACTTCATCCAACAGTCTAGCAGCCATTACTGTCCTCTACTGCTAATAATTACCTAAATAGATTATTTTCCTTTACAAGGCCATTTAATTCCCATATTATTCACTTTACTGGTTTAGTCATAATTTAGTATTTTATTTAGGTTGTTTATTTATTCTGCTCTCAATTACCAACCCAAATTCCACATGGACTGTTCCAGATGGAAAAATAAACATCATCTATATTGATCTCAGTAAAATTAAGTACCTTCTGGTGGCACCTACAACCTTCCTCTCACTCTTAGAGAGAGCCTCACGTTTCTATGCGAGGAATTGCCTTTCATGTCCCCAAAAGAAAAATTATCTGTTATTTTATATGTATATTCTTTAGTA